TCTGGTGGTTAGAGCAGGGGGGTCTGGGAGCCAGGACTCCTGGGTTCTCTCCCCGGCTCTGGGAGGGGAGTGGGGTCTAGTGGTTAGAGCGGGGGGGGCTGGGAGCCAGGACTCCTGGGTTCCTCTCTGCCTGGTAATTAGCTGTTCCTGACTCTGACACACCCTCAACGGCTGCTAACTATAATTATGTTAGTGCTCCCCCCGGGATATTTTAACGAACACCAGAATAATTACAGCCAATTAGCCATGAGGCCTAATTCAAACTTCTGTCAGATGCAAAGCCGTTAGCGTCAGGGCCCGAAGGGGAAGGCGAAGGCAGAACGCGGCCCCGAGACGCACCCGCCACTGGCCCTTATAGAGACATGAATCCCAGCGGATTGTGTACACACATCACAGTGCGCGGTGGAAACTCCCGCGGCTGCCAGCTGGACCCGGCGCTCCCGCCACAGACCCCACAGCGCCCTGCCCCACAGACCCCACAGCGCCCCCTGCTAGGAGAGGCCAGGGCTGGAGTAGCTGGGTCCAGTGGGGTAAAGCACTCGGAGTCCTGGCTCCCAGCCCCCCGCTCTAACCACTAGCCCCCATTGCCCTCCGGGAGCCGGGGAGAGAACCCAGGAGTCCTGGCTCCCAGCCCCCCGCTCTAACCACTAGTCCCCATTCCCTTCCTGGAGCCGGGGAGAGAACCCAGGAGTCCTGGCTCCCAGCCCTCCTCACCTCCCCCCCAACCACTAGGTGTGTATGTTTCTTTAGTGGGAGTGGCGGTGTGTTTGTGGGTGTGTCCCCCTGCTGGAGGGAACAAACCCAGCTCTGTGTGTGTGTGGATGTTGGTCCATGCGTACCCGTTGTGTTGGGAGGAAGCAGAGGCATGCATGTGTAGATTGTGTGTGCCGTGGGACTGGCAGGTGTGTGATTGCATTGGGGACAGCTGGCTGTGTGTGTGTGTGTGTGTGTGTTGGGGGGTAGGCAGGGGTGAGTTGATCAGTTTTGGGGTAGGAGGTGCGTGTTGTGTGTTGGCAGGTGTGCGGTTGTACTGGGCACAGCCAGTTCTGGGTGTTGTGTGTGTGGGAGGGGGCACAGGAGGTGACATGTATGTGTGTCGTGCTGGAGGAGATGTGGTGGTGTAGACCCAAGAGGCTGTGTGTTGGGAACACTTTAGAGTGTGTGTGTTGAACTGTATGTTTGTGTGTTGATCTGTGTGTGTTGGGGATATGTATGTGTGTGTGCTGGCGATACTTTTTTTGTGTAAGTGTTGATCTGTGTGTGTTGGCAGAAAGAAGGGGGTGTCGTGCTGCAGTGGGTGTTGGTGTCCAGGGCCAGCAGGCTGTTTGTGTGTGTGTGTTGATCTCTGTGTTGCATGGCAGTGGGTGTTGTTGTGCAAGGCCAGTAGGTTGTGTGTGTGAGTGTGTGTTAATCTCTGTGTTGTGTTGCAGGAGGGGTTGTGCAGAGCCAGTGGGCTGTGTATGTCTGTGTGTTCATCTGTGTTGTGTTGCAGGGAGTGTGGTTGTGCGGGGCCAGCAGGCTGTGTATGTGTGTTGATCTGTGTTGTGTTGCAGGGGGTGTGGTTGTGCAGGGCCAGCGGGCTGTGTGTGTT